GAAAAGTTCTCTATTTCAGGTAACACACAAGGTTATAAAAAAAAACTATTGTTCACATAATCTCATCTGAGAATTTTGACAACATAAGACTCCATTGAATTTACTGTTTGTTTTTGCCATGAACTGCATATACTTCCTAAACACTTAATAATGTAGTATTGTGACACCTATTTTTCCAAAATGCTCATATCTCAAAAATTTCCTCTTTTGAACAATAAAAATTTACCCTCCTTTTCAAATCTGTAGGGAAGGGGTTGCAGGGCAAAGGACAGTATTGACCGTACCAGAGAATCATTCCTGGGAGTTAATCTTCAAATTTCAGTAGGAACTCTGTGAATGTCTCTGTTCTCCAAGACCCATCATCTTTATCTGAGGTACATTTTTTGAAGAGACATAAAGTAAATAAATCAGCATTTCTGGTGCAAGTCTCCAGTATTTCTTGAATGATCTGCAGGGTCACAGATCGACAATATCTGTATTTGTAATTTCCTCTTTCCTCAGAAACTTGCCCAGCTGAAACTTGCCCTTATCTAATATAGGGAAGCTTCTGGATTCTTCTCATAGAAGCCACCTCTACAAGCTCCTGCTACCAAAACCTTGACACATAAACCCACTATATCCCTATGAACCTCTTATTACTTTTCCTGCTTCCTTTCTGCTTTACAGTGATTTTTGCTTCCACGTTTTCTTTGTTTCATTCAAATTTGATAGAACAAATTTCCACTTAATTTCTAGTTTCTCTGTAATGGCAGCAGATACAATTTTTCCTCTGCTCTTCCACTATACCCACCTGCCCTTTTCTTCAGCATCCTTCCTTCCTTCCATATTTTCTTTCCCAGATCCTTCTCATGGCTGAAGCACACTGACCAAATCTCATTCAGGAGTAAAGCCAGAAGCTGAGCCCACTTAGGCCCTTCAGGTCCAGATATAAGTCTTTTCCAGTGTTAATTCTCTACAAACACAAAGAAGAGAACAGACAATCATAAGGAAGATGAAGTCAGTTCTACTTATCATTATGTGAGGATGATTTCTCACTCCTGAACCAACTCCTTTTGCTGAGATCAAAATAAGTCTCTGGCACAAAATCTTTTCATATCTATGTCCTAAAATCTTTGTATTTAATATCATGAAATGGAAAAGTCACTCACTGCAAAATATTCCCTTCCCATGTATTCCAAGTATCCCAAAGTCCCATTTGGGGTCTCTCAACAGGTGTTCTATTATACATATGTATATATTTACACACGCATGCATACACAAGGAGTTGTTTATTATTATTATTATTATTATTATTATTATTATTATTATTATTATTATTATTATTTGTTTGCTTGTTTGTTTCAGTTAGTGAACTCCAGAACTCTATCTCCTTCCTAACGTAAGTTTAATGATAGATTTGGATTACTTTTTAGGACTATTTTCCAATAGCAGGAATTATACTGTATACAGTCACTGAACAATGAATAAAATATTTCCATTGCCTGGTAACTTATATTTGAAGAATACTTGACATGGTTTCCTTTTTTTCAGATAATTAAACAATTCCCTGCATTTTGTTATTGATATTGTTTTCTGTCATGCATCTATTACATACTTTTAAAATTAGATAATTATATTTTATCAGGTGTAGAGACAGCAATGTCTCTACTCCTTAAAGTGTTTGTTGCTAGTTTGTTTTACCTTTGTTTATCTTTGTGTGGTACTTCTATAGTTTTAGATAGATAGCAGTAGCAGCCAGTTGTTCTAGGTAGAATGAGATATTTATGACCAACACACTGATGTAATGTACAGAAATACAGGTAAGTGAGCAGAGGCCTTGAGAATTGGAGGCACAGGGTGTAGTGCAGGGAAGTACAGGCATGACATAGTAGGAGATGGGGCACAGGCTGACACTGGAGACCCCATGATACGACAACTCAGTATTCAATTTAAAATATCATCCAAATCTCCAGATGGACAAAACTGGTTTTAGGGGTAACAGAATGAAAAAAATAAAATATTATAATGTTTGTGATAGATATTGTACATAGATGTGGCCTGGTGCTGCAAGCAAAGACAGAGAAAAGTGTAAATACACATATAAAAGAGGAGTACTTCCTCTTTCCCCGTAAACAATATTTTGAACATAACACTACAAATATGACATGATGATGTGTTAGGATAATAACTGGGACTCTGATCCACGATGTGATTGATCATCTGAGGACATAACAGCAGCCTTAGAATGGAAAAGTGTGCTATTTCAACAGGAATGGGATAACAGATTTCACCAGCCCAGTCTTTATCTGTTGTCCAGTTCTTAGTATTATCTAATGTAAATTGTTGTGTTTGTTTGTTTGTTGTTTTGTGTTTTTATTTTTCTTCAGACCTTGCTATAAAATACCTCTTAGTTAGTATAAGTTCCTATGAGCCTTTTATCCTACTACGCTATTGTAATTCTGTGCAACTGACAGTGTTTATACTGAATCGTTAATTTTCTTGTGTTAGTGCAGCTAAGATGCATCTATTATCCTGAAATAATTTGTAAATAGGATATTTATTGCTTGCATTTATTTTGGAACATCAGGACAGAAACAATTCTGATCGATTCTTTCAATTTTCTACTTATCTAATGCTGGGTTGCTTTTTGCAGTAATTTCTCCCCATTATTTGTAGATACGAAATGCTGTAGTCTATTGTGCTGCCAAGATTCAAAGGAATTTCCTATCATCTTTTCTTCCCAAGGGAACTGCAATCTATAGCTATTTTCTGCTGCTGAATTTTCATAAAAGCACTTGTCTTGAAAGTTTGTATATAATAGTCTATTATAGTAGATAGTTTTATTGCAAAGGAAAGAGAAGCAGTAAAGTTATTCAAAGCTCACAACTTCACACTTGCTCTTTCCTCCTTTAAAATACCGGAGTAGGAAGTATTATTTGTTCTCCTTTATAACAATTAAAAAATCAGTCAACAACCAAATAACAGAATAATATTTGTAACAGATATATACTTATATAATTCAAAAATAGATGGTATTAATCAATAACAAGGATATCTGTCCTTGGATTTTTTTATTTTTATTTTTTTTCCTAAGATATATTGCACTCCAAGACTGTTTCATTAAAATTTCTGTGATGGGAAGTTTTTACTACTGTACAATATGCAAATAACCTGAGCCAGAAAACAAAACAAAACTAAATATATCTTCAGGTCAATGTTACAAGTAGATCACAGAATTTCTAGGGTGGAAGAGACCTTAAGATCATCGAGTCCAACCTCTGACCTAACACTAACAAGTCCTCCACTAAACCATATCACTAAGTTCAACATCTAAATGTCTTTTAAAGACTTCCAGGGATGGTGACTCCACCACCTCCCTGGGTGGAGTCCAATGCCTAACAACCCTTTCAGTAAAGAAGTTCTTCCTAACATCCAACCTAAAACTCCCCTGGTGCAACTTTAGCCCATTCCCCCTTGTCCTGTCACCAGGCACGTGGGAGAACAGGCCAACCCCCACCTCGCTACAGCCTCCTTTATATGTGTGTATATGTGTGTGAGTGTGGAAATTATATATATATATATATATTTATTTCTATATACATTCAGTAAAAACTTCCATTCTGAGGGATTTCAATTCCAGATGGAAATCTTTCCAGAAAGCCTGTCCTCATAAAATATTCCTCCTATTCATTTCAAAGATGTAAGTTCAGACATTCTTTATGAATGAGACCATCAGCTAGAATCAGCCTTTGAATCTCCCAGTTTTTGCTCATCCCTTGACTGGGACAGACAGATAAGAAATAATTTAATTTAGATACAGGGTGAGAATTTCAGTTTTACTTGCATTTATAGGAGAAAGTACCACAGCCAACATTTCTATCTGTGCTTTCTCCTTAAGTGCTTCTGTTAGATCTAGATAGAAAAGACTTCCATTTCTTATGGATGGTGAGAGCTATAAACACAACTATAATGTTCTCGATGCTTTTGTCAAAAGTAAAAAACATGGAAAACATTTATTTTGCAATTGTCCATGTCATCACAGTAGAAACTAGACTAAGAAATTAATTGTCATTTGGGCCTCTATCACCCAGTATTTTGAGGAAAGAATATTGAAGTCATCCAGGAAAGATGGGTTTCATTTATTTATTTTTGTTTATTTATTTACTTAAGAAGACAGTTAAGAGTTCCCTTGCAATGTAAATTTGCATATTAGCTAGGCTTTGGTATAAGTTTTGCTTAAAAGATGCAGAATTCCGTGGGAAGGGTAAATATGAGATTAATACGTCTACATTTAGGCTACATTTATATTAGCAAGCAATTTGTCATAACAGGAGTAGCTCAGAAGATTGAGACATTCAGTTGTTGACAGTCATCTATCTGTAGTCTTTGTCACTTTATGGGTTTATTTTGACAAAGACTTTGACTGGAGTTGTGGATTGAAGGTGCCCATAGTGCATATGGATTGATGTTCTTTGAATGCCCTAGCCTTTAGCTTGGTTCCTCATGTACATATTCAAGGTGGGACTGTTTTATGAACTGAACCAATGCACTGAAAATGAGAGTAGCTTGAAGATTAAAGCCAAACTACTGTTCCAATGTTGCTAGAGTTGATAGATACACTATTAGGTGTCAATGTGCGATCTCAGTGCCTTCCCTTCTGTCACTGTCAGCTAAGATATATAGAGTAGAGCCGCCTAGGTTTAAATACCTAGCACCATTTCATGCTCTGTTGTATCCTGCCTGGCTTTGAGGTAATGTTCCAGAATATTAGGGGTTTTCTATAGGTCTTCCATCAGATTTTTCAAATACAGAGCTTTTGGAGCCTTGACATAGGTCATGCCTTTAAGCATCTACTTTGAGTGAGATGAGTTACTCCATGAGCAGTATTGAGTAACTGTACTGATTAAAGCATGAGTTCAAACACCCAGTTGATGTGCAGGCACTTAGATATCTTGTTTAGAAACTGAATCCCACTCTCAAGGGTTAGTTCAGTTACCTAATTGTAGGTATTTATTTATTTGAAATCCCATGGGCTATGTGAAGTATTTTCACAGTGCCAGAATAGACTCAGAGGAGCCCATGCTCATCTGCAGCAACTGCTGGAGGATGTAGCGATTGCCCTGGATCAGAGTAGCATATATTTAGACAACAGAATTGAACTGCTGGTGTAAAACCTTTAGTTTATTATTTCCTTGATTGCATGTCATAATATAGATTAGAAAATCAACATTATTTACTTTGTTTATGATAAACACTTGCAAATTTTTGGATCTTATAGGTCATGACATAAATATCAGGCCATTCTATATATCAACACTGTATTGTTTACATCTATAAAAAGTTGTTCTGTCAATTTTGTTGTGGTCAACCGATAACTGTCCCACTTATTTAAGGTCATATCTTAAACCTGTTGGGACATTTGTGGAGAGATTTTGAGGGTAAGCTTCCAATCACTGTTATTTAGCATCATTCTCTTACATGGCCTTGTGTACATACATCGAAGAGTAATAACTTCAGTAAATGAGTTCGACTATATTGTGAGACCAGCTGTGAAGACATAAAAATCATTGTTGATTGTGGGAAATTTCTTGACATCTTTCACAACAAAGGCATCAAAGTTATTTTAGCATGGTACAAAATGATATTTTTCAGCTGTCAATGATGTTTCAATAGAGAAGAAAAAGCTGAGACAATCATTATCATTGAATCACTGGAGTTTTACAACTCCAGCAACAATAGTTTAGTTCATAAACTTTAATTCTTTCACTAAAAATGAGACTTTTGGTAAAGAATGTTCTGTTAGCTGTTTTCCTGGCTCTGCCTTTTCCTTTTACAAAATAAAATGGAGGAATATTCTAGAAAAAAAAAAAAAAAATTGTTTATAGGAGCAAAAAATTCTGTCTGAAAGCATTACATGTCCACATCTTGTAACTTTTCCCTCAAGACCTTTATATTACCTCTACAGTAACTTCTTGATCAACAACAAACATTACTTTGCAAATTTGCATCATCTTTAGACCTTTTGCCATATGGAGGTGACTCCATTCTCACCTAGGAGGAACCAAATCTGTTGCAAGCTCTATCTCAAATTCTCATAATCTTTTGCAAAGTCTGATGAGTCATACACAGATGTCCTCTATCTTTTGAACTGCCATCTGTTGTAACTGGATGGAAGATGTTTGGAGATTTCTGTCAAAGTGTATAAACTTTTTTTACTGAAAAGCCTATTCCTCAGACAGTATGTGTTAAAGAGTAGCCCTGGAAAGACAGCAGCTGTTTTTGAGAGTATAGCAAGGCTCTGCTTCTGTTAATTTACTTGTAGTCCTTTCAGAATGAAAATTGGATGCCATTCTCATTCATCCAGAAAGTTTTAAGAACTGTCCAAGCTGTACAATTAGGATTTCTTCACAGCCATCTTCTTCTGCTTTGTTCACTCCTGTTGAAACAGATGGAGTCATAACAGCTCTCTGAGTCATTCTTTAGCTGGTAAAATATGAGTGATGAATGTTTGTATATGTTTGATTTTTTTTTTTTTTTTGTATCCAGAGGTCATACCTTTTGAGTCCAAGGATATTTTACACTAGCCTGTATTTTCATATGCATTATGGTAGGTAGGTACTTTATGTGGATAATATTTGTGAAAAATGTGCCTATTATGTACTTCTATTCATATTATTTTAACACTTAAGGTCAAAGCTTATGAAATTCACTAACTTTTTAACTTCCAGAGACAGCAATATAATTGTAATAGGCATCTGAGATATTTTATGTTTTGGAGCTTTTTGCATCTTGTATTGTATTGTATGAAGCTCCTTACCATGACAGTGTCCCTAAAACAGCTCAGAGTTCAAAACAGCTCAGGTTATTTCATATTTTTATTAGAAAAATAGGTTATGTATGACATTTTCTACCTAATATTCATAGCCATACAATCATACAGTTTTCATGTAGGGAAGGCTTTTTATTATGTTTTAAATAATAGGAGTAAATGTAAAAGTGAAGATATGAGCACATGCAACAAAGATAAGACCTAAAAATGAAAAAGAATAGAAAGAGAAGATGAAAAAGAAAAAATGAGCTGGGAAGGAATGTGTCACAAAGAATGGGAGAAACATATGATATTTTGTAACATTTCTTCCTCTTATTCATACTGTTGTTTTAACAAGGTGAATCACTTATTCCAGGACCAAAGTTAATTTATTTTTCATTTAGAAAACATAGTTCTGGTTTTTCAGTCAAAATAATTTTGGATATTTTAATATATAGGAAACAACAGCAAAGATTAAGGTTGAGTATATGCAAGAGATCCCTTATTGCATGAAATCCCCTTACTTATTTCATTCTGTAAAATCCTTCATCAACCTTTCTTCACATATGAGTGGTTAGAAATATGAAAGATCACTAGAAGCTAGCTATAACTTGATGACAGCAGCTAATGAAAACAGTTGGTTCTGACTCAATGGACACACAATAATGAAGAGGATAAAAAGTATGAGGTACATATGGCATTAGTAGAACTATATATCCTTTGAAAATGAACCAACATAGCACAGACAGAAAGAAATGTTGCTGAAGAAGTGACTAAGCAAAGAAAAGTAGAAATGCTATTTTGGATCCTCACCAACATAACTAAACCATTGCTCTAGTTTTGTTTAATTGTTACATACCAGAGAAGAGGTTCTTCCAAAAGCCCAGATCCTCCCTCATGCCCAGAAACCTGAGAAAAGGAAAAACAATGTGACAGCTGTTATTGGGCACTCCTTTTGTGAGGAACTACATTCCTGCCAGATGCTCTTATTTACAGGGGATGCTGCAATAGCCTTCAGCGCTCTAATATTACTGAAGTGCTGTATCAGTAATATTACTCACACCATCAACTGTACTCACACCATCAGCCTATGGCATGTATAAGCAGATGAGAGAGTTTTGTTTTGTCAAAGGAAAAGCAGGCCGTAGGGGAATATCTAACAGTCATATGATTAGACTTCAGTCTGAATACAGTATACCTGTGTTTCTGCTTGTTTACTGTTGCTGCTAAGGAAAGAAAGAAAACAAATGTTCCACCAGCAGGTCAAGCAGCTCAAGGCTTTTCACTGCTCTCCTGGCACTTTCATTCCTGCCTTGCATCATGGTGTGATGACAGAGTGTCTCTAAGGGACAAAATGTCAAGTTCAGTTGTAACTCTTCAGCCAGGTGGGTTCAGAGTTTATTAGCAGTGGTGACCAGCACATGTTAACAATCTAGAGAATTATTTAAAACAACCGGAGGAAAAAAAGGCTTTTTGATCTGTTTCATTGCTGTCATAAGCAACCCAAGAGAAGTGAGAGGACAAGGGACAAAAAAATCTCTCTAACTTTCTTTATTCAGTATCTTCAGTTGTGCCCAAGAAGTTTTTAAATCTTTGGGAAGATTAGTTTTTTTTTTTTTTTTTTTTTTTGTTGTTGTTGTTGTTGTTTTTTGTTTTGTTTTGTCTGTTTGTTTGTTTAACAAGTATTCCCCCTCCACACACACACACTCACCCTTTGTTTATTTATTTTTTCTCTCAAATATTGCATTTATAAGTTTTTTATATTTGCAGATAATGTAAAGGACTTCAAAGGCTTATACAGGCACTCCCAGTTGTCTTCTTGAATACAGCTGGGAGTCAAACTAATTGGCAGTCTGCAGTGAGGCAATTAGCCACAGGATGAAGTAAGATGGAGACAAAGACCTAACATTATGTATGCATCATTACTTGGCTATATGCTTTGTTTTGTGTGAGTGAAACTGCTATCAGAGTATTAAGATATTTTAAGTATTAAGATGTGTTAAAACACAAATACACAATGCAAAGATGAAATTCACCTGAGGGGCGGAAAAACACTGAACCCTCCATTCTCATTCTGTAGGCAAAGCTGGCAATCTAAGTAGGATAAAGACACTACATTTTAAAAAGGTGTCTTTGTACTACAAACTTTATACTTGATAAGCTAGTACTAAAGCAGGAACTGAGGGAGTTCCTCATCTCTCTTGTACAGTAAAAAAACAAAATAACTCCATTGACTTAAATTATATTATTCTGTTTTAATTCTGAGGTAGGAATCTGATCCATCTCCATTGCATTTGCATCATAGTCATTATACAAAGAGTGTTAAATAACTTTTACTTGGGTTTATGCTAGCAGTAACATAACAGGGGCTGCAGCAAACATTCAAAGAGTAACTTTATTTTATAAATGTAAAAATGTAGTGGTGCCACTCAGTGTGACAGACTGAAGGATTTGAAAATGTCATAAGATTGAAAATATTTTCACTTTATCAGCAATGTTCACTCATAATTTTTCTCTGGTCTTTGGGGAATCACACTACAGTCATTTGCAATGAGATCAAGCATAGCCCTTGCTGCTCAGAGACTGGGCAGAAGAGAGATTGGACTTGTTACCCTGAATCATGTAGATTCAGCAGAACAAATCTTCCAGAGGAAAATGGAATCTCAAATTGAGACCACTTCCAAAGGCTCAAAGGAAAATATTTTTTGACCACAGAATTTTTTGTAGGAAGTAAGGAAGTATCATTGCTATTCAGGCTTCAATTGCTTTGGCTTTTCAGGAATCATATTACCATTTATTAGTAATTGTTTTTTATTTAGCATACAAAAAGGTTTACATTTCACAGTTTTTTCTCATGTAAGGCATGTGGAGAGACTCATATCTACCAATTTATCTTTATCGATGATCTGGATGAGGGTATCGAGTGCATCCTCAGTAGGTTTGCAGATGACACCAAGTTAGGTGCGTGTGTTGATCTGCTTGAGGGTAGGAAGGCTCTGCAGGAGGATCTGGATAGGCTGCACCGATGGGCTGAGGTCAACTGCATGAAGTTCAACAAGGCCAAGTGCCAGGTCCTGCACCTGGGATGCAACAACCCCAAGCAGAGCTACAGGCTGGGAGATGAGTGGTTGGAAAGCTTCCAGGTGGAGAAGGACCTGGGAGTATTGGTGGATAGTCGGCTGAATATGAGCCTGCAGTGTGCTCAGGCGGCCAAGAAGGCCAACAGCATCCTGGCTTGTATAAGAAGCAGTGTGGCCAGCAGGTCTAGGGAAGTGATTGTCCCCCTGTACTCTGTTCTTGTGAGGCTGCACCTCGAGTACTGTGTTCAGTTTTGGGCCCCTCGCTACAAGAAAGACATTGAGGTGCTCGAGCGAGTCCAGAGAAAGGCAACAAAGTTGGTGAGGGGTCTGGAGAACAAGTTTTACAGGGAGCTGGGCTGGGGGAGCTGGGTTTGTTCAGCCTGGAGAAAAGGAGGCTCAGGGGTGACCTTATCGCTCTCTACAGGCACATTAAAGGAGTCTGTAGCGAGGTGGGGGTTAGTCTATTCTTCCATGTGCCAGGGGAGTTTTAGGTTGGATATTAGGAAGAACTTCTTTACTGAAAGGGGTGTTAGGCATTGAAATGGGCTGCCCAGAGAGGTGGCAGAGTCACCATCCCTGGAGGTCTTTAAAAGACGTTTAGATGTTGAACTTAGTGATATGGTTTAGTGGGGGACTTGTTATTGTTAGGTCAGGACTCTTTAGGATGATCTTGAGGTCTCTTCCAACCTAGACAATTCTGTGATTCTGTGATATTGTCTAACATTCTTTTTCTCCTTTCATTTCCACCAAGCCCTATTCTCATTGTCCTTAAACATGTTTACTTTGAAATCCTTGCTCAAAACAGTGATATTAAAACCAACCATTCTGTTGAATCATGTCTATCAGACTGGGGCTAAGTTAATCTTTAAAGGTACCTGTGTGCTCACAGTTCCTGATGAGGCATTTCTGTCTGAGTGCATGCACAGACATTTTTAACATCTGTCTGAGTTTGCCTGTACTGCATAGCTGAATGCATGACAGCCTCTCAATGCTAGAAACTTACCATTTCTGCATTACCATACTGTATCTTTGCTGTGCTGTGAGAAAGAATTTTACTTATCACATTAAAAATGCAAGAAACAATTAAACAAGTAGTTCTCCCATCAATTTTAATCAATGAATACTGCAAAGTCCTTTTCAGGCATGTTAGATTGGTATTCATCACTCTGTTGTCAAGGACAGAGGCTCCTGCTGTTATGTGCTAGCTCCTGACACTTGCAGGATCTGCACTGAGCCTGAGTGTTGGGTGGCTGTCAGGTGTAGTTAATGTCAGTCTCAGTCAGGAATTCTTCCTTTAAGTCACAGTCCTCAGCCAGACACACCGATGTGCTATACTAGGTTGAATGTAGAGTATATTCATGGAATATACTTAATACAGGATATGTCAGCTTACAAAACAAAATAAAATTGAGAAATTTCTATTTTAAAATGTCAAATTTTGCCCATGGAAACAAATGAAATCATATAAGGATTGGAGACTTTCGGGAAAAAAAGTCTTCATCTGTAGAGGATAATGAAAATGAGATAAAATCCAAACGGGCATTGGAGAAAATACAACACTCATTGCTGAAGTTGTGCAAATCAGTTGGCAATATACCACAACTCATTATTGTGAACTCTCTAAATGGAGCTAGTACAAGTCTTTAAGTGACAGAATAAAGCATGCTTCAATTTTTTTAAGCAAGAGGAGAAATGTGAAACCAGGATCTTTAGCAAAGAGTTAATAGCTGGCTAATGCGTGTTCATGAAGAACTAAACTAGAGAAAGAGTTTCAGTAGCACTTCAAAGTCATGAACCTCATACCTTGTGGGAATGGGTGTCTGCAGTTGCTATTAAACAGAATTTCATTCCTAATAACTGCAACCCTGTTTAATTCCTATTCTAATCAAACCATACATTTAAATTTGTGACTGCATACTATATGTTTAAAACCTTCCACAGTATTTCAGTTTGGACAGTATTGCAGGAAAGGAACAGAATATTGTAACAATTAAATCTACTTAACTTTATGACATCAAATGAGCAGAACAGAGGTTTTGCAAATCTTCTGTACAGTAGTTGTGTGCTAATGCTGAGAGCATGCACAGAGGCCTCTCAGACTGGAAGATATCAGCAGGCTTATGAAATCAACAAGAAAACTGGGCCAATATGGAGAGGCTTTGGGTGCTCCATTCCTGTAGGTGTTCTAGAGCAGGTTAGATAAGTCTCTGAGCAGCCTGATCTAGTGGGTGGCATCTTTATCTATGGCAGGGGAGTTGGAACTAGATGATCTTTAAAGTCCCCTCCAACCCAAGCCATTCCATGATCTATGATCCATTTTCTATGACCAAAGCAAACATTTTCATTGCATCAGGCTTCAGGTTCCCACTTAGCTGCATAGAAACATGGAATAATATAGGTGGAAAGTGACTTCTGCATCTCTTGAAGTCCTGCTGCCTCCCCAAATCAGGTTTAATTTCAAAACTGGAGGAGCATGCTCACTGTCTTATCTAGAAAAATTTTGAAAATCTTTAAGATTGATAATTCCACTGTCTCACCGAAATTTTCCTTGTTGGAAGTGGTGTCTGTTGCTCCTTGTCTTTCATTGTGCACTTGGGAGAAAATTCTAGTTCCATCTTCTTTATTACCTACCTTAAGTCCATTTAGGATACATTCAGGAATCATCTCCTGAATTATTCCACAGAGTAATGCTCTCTCTAGTCATGCAAAAAACATATATCTCATCTTGAATCAAACATGGAGTGAAAATAATTAAGGGTGGTTCTCACTGCCAGATCCAATGAAAACTACTTTAGGTTTAGGAAATGTCACATAAGATGATAATTGTTAAAGTAGTTAAATATGCTTTTATTGCTGGGGCTCTCTAGCTCAAATGGGAATACATCCAAAACCCAGAGTTGTGGTGTGCTTCTGTTTTACAGGAAACTCCTCCAGCTGGAGGATATGTATAACTAGAGCGATTGTTTTCTACAAACTCACCATAATAAACCATTTATTTGTCACATATATTAAACCTCCATACTATGAGGACAACCAGAATGTTTCCTAAGTTCAGGCCAAATTTACTAGATGGTTACAGCTAAAATACAATAGAGCAGAGCTTGTGTGTGTGTGTGACACTTGTAATAAAATTCAAGAAAATATGGGAACAGATTGGTGCATTGCTCACTTTTATTTCTATCCAGATATCAGTACAGAAAAAGTATGAGAAAGTCATGCTCAAATCTCCGATCATGCTAAGGAAAATTGAACACTTCTCTCCCATTTACCAGAAGACAACTCCAAATGGAAATATCAGAGAACCAGACACCTACGTTACTCCCCACTTGACAAATTTTGTTCGTTAACATGTCTAATTATTTTTTTATTATTATTTATTTACTAATTTTCCCTAGGAGAATATCCATGGACCTGGATGCCCATGGATTTTCCAGGATTACTGTCATTTGTACCAGAGCTCAAGCCTGAGCTTGAGTTGAGAATATTG